AGCACTGTGTAAGAGCTTGAAGCCCTTGGAGGCCAGAAAAGGACATTGAATCCCTTGGGACACGTGACTCAAATGGATGGGTCCTGGGAGTCAAACCGAGGTCCTCTGCAAGAGGATCAAACGCTCTTAACATCTCTGCAGTCTCCAATTCCCTTTTAAAAAACAGTTTTCACTACATTTTATTTATTTATTTATTTATTTATTTATTTATTTATTTAGTGTGTGTGTGTGTGTGTGTGTGTGTGTGTGTAGCTGTGTACATGCCATGTCATGCAAGTGGAAGTCAGAAGAAAGCTTGCTGGAGTCCGTTCTCTCCTGTAGGTAGTGGAAGCTGTACTCAGGGTGGCAGGCTTGGCTGCAGGTGCCTTTACTTTCTGAGCCATCTCACCTGCCCTGCTTTTATGTCTTTGGGAACCTCTATACATGGTGGCTTTGTTTCCTATCAACAGTAAGAAAGGGTTCCTTTTCCTGCACATCCCTCTGCACATTCTTACTAGCTTCCACCCAGCCTCCTCTCTCTATAATAGCCATACTCACTGCTGTGAGGCGGTATCTCACCGAGGTTTTCATAGTAAACTTGGGATTGGTTGGTTGCAAGGATAAATTTCAAATAAAAAATAGCTCTATTTATTTATTTAAATATTTCTAACATTCACTTTTCAGTGCTGGGATAGAGCGCGGTGTTTTCGCGTGTTAGTTTAGATAATCACTAAGCTACACCTCCAGCTAGACAAATAGCTGTACTTTTTTTTAAAAGTGGGGTAGTAGGAAAGGTAGGTGGGTCTTCCAGTTCAAGGCCAGACTTGTCTACACAGTGAGTTCCAGGACAGCCATGGTTACATAGAGAAACCTTGTCTTGAACCTTCCCCCAAATTTTATTAATTAAATTTAGACAATTCCACACATATACACAATACTCACTACTTTCACTGCCTACCCACTGCACTTTCCTACTGCCTCTCGCCCACCTCCACCTCTCCATACAAAATGTCTCTTTCACTTTCAGGTCTACTCTTTTTGTTTTGTGACTCACTGAGTTTAACCAGGATTGTCTGTGTGACCATGGATTTGGAGCCATGTGCTGGAGTCTGGTGGGCTCACCAGTGGCTAGACAACTGAGGACGTCAAACTGGTTTTATAAAGGACCAGATGGTAATTTCCGTTTCCAGGCCATGTGCTGACTGGTGTAATGAGCCGTGTTAACTCTTGTAGGATGAAGGCAGTCATAGACAACATGTAAATGAGTGAACACGACTCTGTGCCAATAAAGCTTTGTTTATCAAATGGCTGTAGCCTGGATATAGCAAGTGGGCCATGATTCTCTGGCCCTTGTATGTAAAGGCTCCATGATGACTGGGTTGTTGACCTCTGGGTTGGTATGCAGTACGTGTGTGCCATCTATACTTGTTTGGCTCTGCATGGCCACAGCTGCCTTGGTTACTTGCTCTACAATTCTATAGATAAATTACCAAACATACCACAGCCATGGCTGTAGCACAGATCAGGACATCTAAGATGACCCTACACAGACCTTCTGAGTGAGAGGGTTAAACTGGATGATCTGTGACAGCAATGGAAGCAAGGACATAGCTCAGTGATCAAGCATTTGCCTAGAATGCAGGAGACACTGGGTTTTATTTCCCAAATCACCATCAGAAAAGCCTTAAAAAAATACCTCATTAGGCCAGCTCAAGAGGATGGCACCCAGGCCTGCTACTTATAACCTGATCAAAAGCAACGGCTGGAGAAGTCATAGGACCTGGGAAAACCTCCTACTGTTTGTCAAACTGCCTTCTTCAAGAGTTATGTTTCTATCCATATTCTAGTACGTCTTGAAGCCAGAAAAGCTTCATTCTGCAGCAGCAGCAGTTAATGCACAGACTTGGAACTTTTCAAACTGCTGAGCCCTAAATGGGACATCTATATCAGCACCCCTCCCCCCAAAGATCAGGAACCTTCACATAAAAGGGGTGAAAAGAGAGCTGAATGGTGATGGTGCAGGCCTTTAATCGCAGCACTCAGGAGGCAGAGGAAGGGAGATCTCTGTGAGTTTGAGGCCATCCTGGTCTACAGAGTTCTAGGACAACCAAGACTGCCCAGAGAGAACCTATCTAGACGGATAAAATGAGAGGTATGTGTGGAAAGAATGTAAGAGCTGAAGGATGTGAAGGAGTGCTATAAAATGCAGTCTTCTGAACATGTATGGCCATTGTATTCATAAAGCTGCATCTGGTCACCTGCATAAGAACAAGCCAACAAGATCAGTCAATACTCCAATAGGTAGCACTAACTAGACCCAGTGAGTTATTAACAAAATAAGGAGCCGACACAAAGAGGGATGTGTTGGGGGATGCCAGGGAGAGTGGGAGGAGTAGCTGGGTTGCATATAAGCAAGATTCATTGTTTACATGCATAATATTTTTTTCTTTCTTTCTTTGTGTATGTGTGTATTTGCACACACATGCAGTATTTCAAGACAGAATTTCTCTGTGTAGCCCTGGCTGTCTTGGAACTCGATCTGTAGACAAGGCTGGCTTTGAACTCACAGAGATCCTTCTGCTTCTGTCTCCCAAGTGCTGGGGTTAAAGGCATGCACTACTACCACTTGGCTGGAAATTTCAAAGAATAGATAACAGAGACTCCATTTTAAAATCTCCTTAAATATGAACACTATACCTACACCAATAGAAAGGTCTAACTTCCTGGATGCTGATAAGAGAAGCTTTGAGAATGTGTATGTCTGAATTTAGTAGGAAGGAGGTATGATTAATTAGTCATGTCTGCCAGGGGCACTGGGGTATAAACAGTGGTCTGTCTGTTAAACATGGTTCTCAACTTTCCTAATGCTACAGTTCCTCATGTTGTGGTGACCCCCGACTATAAAATTATTTTATTGCTGCTTCATTACTGTAATTTTGCTACTGTTATGAATAATATAACTATCTGGTGTCCAAGTTATCTGATACGTGGTCCTTGTGAAAGGATCATTCAATGTCCAAAGAAGCCATAACCCACAGGTTATGTAACAGGATTGTCTTCAACATGTAGCTTCGACAAGGCATGTCCACATATTCCCTTGGAAAACATATAACATATAGCCGTCTGGTATAGAAGCATGACCTGTAATCTTATAAATCCTTATATCTACTTATATGTAAGAATCAGGATAAGGATCCTGAGTCTCTCTGTTCATGGTAGAGTCACACACAGCTAGCCATTGAGAGAAAAGAAAGCAAACTCATAACTCCTTCTATCTTTTCCCAAAGCAAGGCTTAGAGCAGAGAGTCTAACATATTTCTTCCAAAGTTTGACAAATGTTTACTGAATTCTCATTACACCAGTCAAAGGCTGCCTTCTGCCTTTTAACAAAAGTAATTACAGCATTTCATCGTGTAAAAGACAGCAGCATAAGCTGAAAAGAATGTTAGGAGTAGAGTCAGTGGTAAGGGAGAGGCAGGGGAAAAAGGGAAGGAAGAGAAGGGGCAGGCATGTGGAAGACATAAGCTTGGAGAACCAGTCAGTTGGGGAAAGGCACAGAGACAGAGGGGAGGGAGAGGAAGTAACATTTCTGGGAGAATGAATTCATAGAAAAGGAGATGAATTTATCTGAGGGCTGATTGGATGGAGTCATAAAAGTGCAAAACCACAGATATCGGGTTTGCCTTTGGTCTCTAAAGAGTAGTACTCTTTGTGTCTCCTCTACACTTGCAGAGACACCTCTTTCATAGAAATTGATGCCAAGGAAGTGGAGTCACTGCTGTGATAGATCTGACCATGAGGATTTTATGATTTGGACGTTTTGTGGGAAGAATTCGAAAGCTTTGGCTACAGTGGCCTGGAGAAGCTATCGAATCCTAGGCTGTTTTGTGGTAGTTGAGGCCTAGCTCACGGGGTTTTGGAGAAGAACAAAGACTCTACCAGGAACAGACAAAAATATTTGTAGATATTTTGACCAAGAATTTGTGTGTGTTAGTCGTGCTTGGGCTGAAGACGCTGTTGAGATCTTCAAAGAGGTCAGTTCCACTAACATGGCATCTTCCTTCATTGGGACAGACCCTTTGAAATAAGGTTACTAGCTGGAGGGGAAGGGCTGCTCAAGTCCTTTGGGTTTTTTGGTGTGACTGTTTCATACTCCAGTTCTTTGATTTTGAATAAGAATATTCATTCTGTGATGTCACTAGCTGTTGCACTTCCTGCCTTGACTTCCTTGCAATGATGAATTGTAAGTCAAGCATGAGAAATACGAATATGATCTCTAAATAGCTTTTATCTCAGGGCTTATTGTATCTTTTAGAGTGCGCCAAAGAGAATTCTCCTACAGGTTATGCAGAGAGATGGGGAAGAATTCTGGATGTGGCAGAGGTGAGATCATCCAGGCTGAACCTTGAGGGTACTGAGGAAGAAAAGAGAGACAGGTGGGAAAGTCATTTCAAAGTCAGCTGGAGGCTGTGAGGAGTGTATGAGCTATGGAAGGAATCCCAGACAAAGGTCAAGAAAAGGAGGAGGTCAGGAAAGCCTGGGAAGGGGGCCTGGAAAGAAAAGACCCATCTTAAGCTGTGAGTTTTCATAATGACAGACCCAGCCATAAAGCTATGAACTGCACACTTGGAAGACAATATAGCTGATCTCTCATCTAGCCTAGTGCCCAAATTCCATAGTGGTGACCTTAGCTGGAGGTTACTGGAAGTTTCTAGAAATTGTTCAGAAAGCTACTACCTCTGAGGTAGGAATGACTATTTTTGGTTGAGTCATAGGAGGAAGAGTAAGGCTTGGTGAGGCAAAAAGAGCAGAAAGTTAGCTACAGGAAGGCAATGTGAGGCTGCGTTAACAGAGTTACAGAGTCCAGCCAGAGGAAGGTGGTACTAATGTGCTGTGGTTGGCTGGCTCTCTCTAAAACTGACACACACAGAGGGCCATGATGAATGAAGAATCCAGTAACCATCTTTGAAGACTGGTGGGTCAGAGAAAGCACCTGTAGGAAGCCATCACTGCCCTTTCTTTTATTGCAGATAGAGCTTCTTCCGGAGGGTGCTTTGGACTTCAGGGTTTACTTTTCTCGGTTTTCCTTCCTGCATCACCTCTGTGTTTGCCATAAGTCGGGTGACCTGCAAAATAGGTGTGATCAGCTATGAGGACTGGCCTGCCAGGGCGGCTGGCGTCAGGAGCGTGGGGATGGGGTTGCAGGGAAAGGCAGGTTGGTATCCATCACTTGAGACATTAATTGTCCTTTAGCATTCCATAGTTTCTATGCAATCATTGCATAGCTAGTTGGTGTATGTCTATACGTATATGTTTGTTCCTGTCCTGCATGTAACAACTATTTGAGAGAGGTGACATAGGGACATCACCTTCCAAAACTCTCCACCTTGTTTTATTGAGGTACTGTCTCATTGAATTAGTAGCTCTGTGATTTTCTTAAACTATCTGGGCCTCCGCATCTACAAACATGCATGCACACCCATCCATCCCCACATACATGTGCCTATACAGATGCATACCACATACAAATGCATGAAAATGGAAAACAAGACTAAAAAAAATCATTCCCATAAGTAATGAGAAGTCCCAATATGTATGTATGTAGGTGAGAACACAAGGGAAGGTTGGGAGGGGTCCGGTCTGGATGGGGTCCCCAGATGCCTCATCTGACTTACCTCTTCTATCAGTTCTGTGATGGGTCCTATTTTATGCATGAACACGTCCGTCAGGGTTTGGATGAAGCCAGAGCCTTTCTGATCATGTCTATAGGAGAGGTACCCTGGGAAGGTCAGAAAATTGAGTTTGGAGAAGTCTTGAGTTTGAAGAGTGGAGGGGACCCCCAGAAGACGGTCCCTTCTGAAGAAGAAGTTCAGGGGTCATGGGTGCTGGAGGAGGATCATAGGCCAACCCTAGGACATCTGAGAGCTCATACCCTCTACCGTGGAGTAGATGTGGATGGTATCCGTATAGGTTGGGATAGTTTGGGGGTTGTTCTTGATCATAGCAACCGAATCTTCACCTAGTTCCTCACCGGGGTCTTTGTGTTCTAAAACCAGGGGAGGAAAAGAAAAAATCAGGAAGGAAAATGGGGCCAAGGGAATGTTTTAGAGCAGTCGGGCAGTGTGCCAGGTTCAGCTGGGGCTCAGAGTCTTGGACTGGGCTGGATGAAAAAACACAGACTCTGGGCTACAGAGAAGGTTTAGTGGAGCATTTACTGCTTTTGCAGAGGGTCGAAGATTGGTTTCCAGGGCCCATGGAGTCTCTGTACCTCCAGCTCCAGGGAGCTTCACCCTTCTCTGGCTGCCTCAGTTATCTGCAGTCACACACACACACACACACACACACACACACACACACACACACACACACCTAAAAATAAAGTAAATCTTAATATTACATGAACCCAGCTGGGCATGGTGCTGCATGAGTATCAGCTCAGCACTTGGGAACCAAGGCAGGAAGATCATAAATTCGAGGACAGCCTGGATTACATAATGAGTTCCAGGTCAACCTGGTATACATAGTGAGTTCAGTCTTAATACCCTTGTCCCAAAGACCAAGGATGCGGCGTCCCAGTCCCCACCTCCTCTGCAAGCCTGGATGATGTACACTTTCGGCTTGCCTCTCAGGGCCTTGCAGTTTTTGTTGTTCAAGGCCTCAAAAAGGTCTTCCAGTCTGACCATCTTCCCGTCTTCTCCCTTGAGGAAGCCTTCCTCGCCATGCGCCATGAGTACCACGAAGGCACAGCTGACAGGCTCTTCCCAATTATCTATGGTCTGCTGAAATTCATCCAAATTTTCCAGAAATTGCTTAGAGGAAGAGGAATGAGCAGGCTCAGACAGGTGCCTCAAAGCATACCCTTTTTGTCCAGCCCATTTCCCTCTTGGCCTGGAGCTGGCTGTTCAATACCTGAGCGGTGGGATCCCTCTTCATGGTGCTTTCAAATTTCAGGTAACGGAACATGTCTTCCAAGGCATCCATGTCTACTTCAGAACCCTCCCGGGCTTTGGTGACACACAGTGTCAGGGCCAGGCGAGCACCCGACATATCATATCTTTCCTAAGGAAGAGAAACAGAGGATGAGGGAAACGCAGTCCAGTGAAGCCTGGCATTAGGTTTGACAGAACCTCCAAACAGGTTGCCAAGAGGTTCAGGGTGCTCTGAGGATCTCTCCATTTCTTGCTTACGTGCAGAGGTCTCAGAATGTCTAAAGCCATAACTGGGATTCCATCTTATACCATCTGAAAAAGGACGCTACTGGGGTCAGAATTTCTTTTGTGAAGAAAAGCAGTTGAGTAAGGACCAAAGTGATAAGAGCTTAGCTCTTGGAGACAGATGTGCTGGGCTCCTTCCCTCCTTTTCCAAGTTGGTTTTCATTTCTGGGTCGATTTTTTTGTCTTCTTTTCTATTCTTTCTGCAACGTTTAAGTATTTCACCCCTTTCCCATACCTCCATGCATTTTGTACCCTCACCTACCTCCTGCAAGGGCTGAGGCTTACTCATCTCTGATTCCATGTCTGGCTTTCAGCACCGTTGTCTGGCCCTGGAGGTCAAGAGAACACAGGTAGAAAGTCTCCAAAGGAAGACTGATGGGATAAGGTGGTAGACTGATTTGTCTATCTTGAATGTTTGAGACTGCATAGGAAAGTTACTATATGGTCAGACCTGGAACTGATTGTCCCTAGAGTATGTTCTCTCTATAGTTACAATATGGTGGAGTCTTCCATCCATGTTATTCTAGGCCCATTCAAAGTAATGCCTCTTGCTGGGTGGTGGTGGTACATATCTTTAAATCCCAAGAGACAGAGGAAGGCAGATTTCTATAAGTTCAAAGCTAGCCTGATCTACAGAGCAAGTTCCAGGACAGCCAAGGCTACACAGAGAAATCTTGTCTTGAAAAACCAAAACAAACAAACAAACAAAAAACAAAAAACAAAACAAAGAAACCAAGGAGAAAGAAAGAAAGAAAGAAAGAAAGAAAGAAAGAAGAGGAAAATGGCAGCTCTTGAACCCTCTTTTCCTCCTTCTCCAGAACATTTACTTGCTTGTGTTTGGCAGACTCTTCCTCCCTATGACTGATCATGGCAAAATAGCTTACATACTCCTCTGTTATACTAAGGATGTCTGGCTGGGGAGGGTTCAGGATTAGCTTAAACTGAGAGTTCCACCAAAGTTAGGGCTGGCTTCACACTAGTAGTTTCTCATCTGAGGAGGTCAACCCATCTCCCCCTGTCTGTCCTGAGACTGATAATCATCCAGGAGTCTTCATCCATCTCCTGAGGCCTGTCTTGAACTCTGGTAGATGGAAGGATGTCTGGCATGCCCTGGGACCTTCCTCACACTTCTGTATGAGACCCGAGTGCTTCTTATGATTGGAGTGACGTAATGTCTGCTATGCCTTCTCTCCATTGCTCATGCTTCTACCCACCTACCAATCCATCCGTACACTGGCCATCCAGCCATGCGTCCATGCATGCATCCGTCCATGTACTTTAATATCCAACTGCCCAACTGTGCACTTACGCCTTTCGATGCTCTCTTTTCAGTCATCAATCTTCCACTCATTCACCTGTAAACCAACCATCAATCTCTTAGCTGTCCATGTGTCTATCCACCCACCCATTTGCATCTAACGCTCCACTCCTACACTGACCAAGCATATGTTTCCTGAGGCTTATTATGTATTATCACTGGGAAGACTTTCTATGACAGACATGAATGAACAACTTTCTTTCCTTTGAAAACACACACACACACACACACACACACACACACACACACACACACACACACACACCCTGAGGAAAGAGGAACCAAATACTGTGACTAAGGAAGTGCCAGGAGCCCAGCACTGAACTCAGACGTAGCAGACCCCAGCCCTACCCCTGTAACCCCCAAGAACTTAGGCATCTCACTTTGTCTCTGAGAGTCAGTTTTTGCATCTGCAAAGGCAGGATCTGGGAATAGCAGGAGGTACTTTAGCAGTAAAGGCAAAGTAAGGAAGGCTTCATGATCTCCACTGGCCTCCTGGATGTGCCACTCCATTTTCTGCCTGTTTATATTTGCGTTATAGAAGTGTGTGTGTTTTTACAAACACAAAAGCTGTATATCGCTTTAATCATCTTTGTGATTACATGCATGTAAAGAAGAGTGTAAGACAGATGTATTGACAAGTAAAAATAAATTTTACAACAAACAAACATCCCATACTTTATGTATGATGTGAAGTGTTAGATCTCTCAGACTAGAAAGAAGAAAAGAACATGAAGAGGAAGTAGCCGGACTTCCCGATTCTTACTCCAGTGGTTGAACTCGTAGCTGAGCTCAGATTCATGACCAAAGCCTGCTGCCTTTATCTGTGTCTCCATCAGGGTTGACAGTGTGGGTGGAGAGGCAGGGGTTGAGCAAACAAACAAATGAACAGATGAGAAAAGGCCTGTATAGCAATTTGTTAGAACAGATGGAAATTTCATTTCTGGCAGAATAGAAAAGGGAAAAGGAGAAAGACACAGGGAGGGCAGAGAGAGAGAAGGAGGAGGGATAGAGAAAGGGGGAGAGAGAGGGAGAGAGAGAGAGAGAGAGAGAGAGAGAGAGAGAGAGAATATGAGAGAGCAGTAAGTGGCTATCAAAGCCCTCACCGGCTGCCAAGGCAGGTGCTCCTTCTCCTTGGGGTCAGGCCCTGGCTTGTCTGTCTCCAAGCTGCTGATACAGCGCTGTCACTCAGGAGGAGTGAGAGCCACGTGCTGTTCTCCGAGAAGGGGCAGACACAGAGCGGTTTCCCCAAGTTTCTCCTGAGATCCTGTCTGTGACTGGAGCAGAGCAAACGCTGTCCCTTTATTGTCTGCAAGTTTTTTGTCACTTAAGGAACCTCGTGACAAGAAAGCCACACCCTTGGCGGCAGGTGTGGAAACAGTCAAACGCCCATGGAATGAATGAATGAACGATGGCGTGGCTCAGCCGACACCACCCCCATCGCCACCCCACCACCACTTGGCCTACCTGCAGTAGAGCATCCAAAGGAAACAAACCACGGCCCCTCCGCTCACCGCCCTGGGTTCAGCTCAGGTGATCTCTATCATTCATTCCACTGTCTATCAGGCAGGTAACAGCAGCTTCACTTTCTCAGGATCTCCAGTCCTCAGAAGTCCTCAGGAGACCTCCCAGGACATTAGCATTGTCCCTTCTATTTTCAAGCTGAGGGTCAAGACTCTGCAAATTAGGTGGCAGCTCAAGGCCACCCAGCCAGCACTTGGCATTCAAACCCAGGACTGTCCAGTCCAGCTGCCTCCATGGTGCTTCTTGCCCCCTTTTCAGCTCTCCTCTCTTCCTCTTATTCTTCCCCCTTTGTTCTCTCCCAGTATCTTGTTTTCTGGTTATTTATTTATTTTTTATGTCAACAGGTTTCATGAGATAAACTTACACTATTCAGCTCTTCCACTTGGCATGCCCAATTTGCTGTCTTTAACACCTTTACAGAGTAGTGCCAGGGACTCTTCACTGTAGAGCACTCTAGAGCATGCTCACTGACTTACAAAGACAGGCAGGCTCTCTGATTGAACCAGGAACTATGCTTGCAGGCAGCAATTCCCAGCAGGCCTCCTGTCTTTAACAGTGCTAGGGTTATAGGCCTGAGCATGTGTCTGCATATGGCTTTTTACACTGGTTCTGGAGATTTGAATTTAGATCCTCATGCATATGTATGAAAAACTCACTGAGGCGTCTCCCCAACCATGCGTTTTAAAATAATTTTTATTACATTTATATTTGTTTATTAATTGCATACCATACCCCACACCATAGCATGTATATGGAACTCAGAAGACAACTTGTGGGAGTTAATCCTCTCTTTCTATCTTTTGGTCCAAGGGATTGAACTCAGGTCATTTGCAGTAAGTTCCTTTACTCACTGAGCCATCTTGCCCACCCATCCCTTTTTGTATATGTGACATTGTGTATGTGAGAGTGCATGCACATGCATGCACATATGTGGAAACCAGAGGTCAGTGTTGGATATCTTGTAAATTTTATTCTTAAAATTTAGTTAATTTCTATTTATTATTTATTTATTATTTATTATTCTCTCTCTCTCTCTCTCTCTCTCTCTGTGTGTGTGTGTGTGAGTGAATGAGTGGAGGTCTGAGGACAATCTTTGGGAATTGTTCTTTTTCTACTGTGCAGGTCTCAGGGATAGAACTCAGGTGGTTAGGCTTGGGAGCAGATGCCTTTACCCACTAAGCCACCTTGGCAGCCCTATGTCATTGGCACTTAGAATAATAAAGATTGATCTTTTTCAATCATTGCTGTTGGAGTAGATTTTTGGAGTAGATTAGTGATGCAACCACCACCCTTAGAAAGAATTTAGGGATGTAGATTGTTAGTATAGTCGGGTTAAGATGTTTTTGTTAGTGGCTTTGATGTAAAAAGTCTTAGGGAACATTTTAAATTTCAGAAAGGCACACTCTTGATAGTTGAGCAAGGGGCACCTTGAAGTCAGGGAATGAGAACAATGGCAGCCTGGCCATTACTAGCTGACATGGCTTTCTTGATGAAGCTGGGCTGGCGATCAAGGTGATGACTGATTTCTTGTACCCATTTATGCCCTCAGCTTCCTCATTCTATGATTCAGTGAAAAATTGTTAATGAGTAGCTGTACACCCTGAGAATTTAAAGTAGAAATGACTGATTTTTTTATATAAAATTTAGATTCATGATTCTTTTATGATTCTTACAAGATTACTTTTTGAGATAAATAACAAAATAATTGATCCTTCTTTTGTATCCCAAAACTGCAGATTTCCAGTAAGAGACCCAGCTGAGGAAAAAAAACTTGCTTGCTTATATTTTGTTAATCTATAACATGTTACTTAAAAATGAATGTATGTGGGTCCTTGGGAATAATTTGTTTTTTCATCTGTAATATCTAAATATTTAATCATGTAAGGGTGTTGGGGAACATGTAGTATTTCACTTGTACTTACTGTAAGCATTCATATAAAATGGAATGTAGTCACATGGTAGTTTTTCTACTGCTTGAGAAGTTTCCCTGGGGGTGTGTGTGGAATATAAGTTATGGGAGAAAAAATAAAGTTTTTGGAGCATTGCTTCATCCCCCCAAATGTGTGTGTGCGAGTGCGATTGTGTGTGTTTGCTTCTTTACGTTCCTTATCAACCCCAACGTCTCCTCCTTTTTATTGATGAACACACTGCTGTAGCTGGCCTCCAACAATGGGCCATTTGTGATATTTTTCCTCATTGTCCCACCTGAAAACTCAGCTGATTATCTATCTATCTATCTATCTATCTATCTATCTATCTATCTATCTGTCTGTCTGTCTGTCTGTCTGTCTGCCTATCTGTCTGTCTGTCTGTCTGTCTGTCTATGTCTATCTATCTATCTATCTATCTATCTTCTATCATCCATCTAATATTTATCAATCAATCATCAATCTAAGATCTATCATCTAACTATCTACATAACCATCTATCACCTAGCAATCAATCTGGTGTCTTATTTT